CGCTAGAGACTAACCAGCACACCATCTTCCCCTTTGGAGCCAGAAAATGATGCTCAAAAAGGTACCAAAGCTCTCTAAAGTGAACTGCAGCCATTTTTAGCCACAACAAGGTCCTAAGCTCCTCTGATGATGAGAACAGCCAAGTTCCTATCAGGAAAGAAGCTTGACAAGCTCCTCCAGGAGAAGCAGCAGCAACAGGAGAACCACCAACACCACTTCTTCCTCTCAAGCTCTCCTTTTCATGTCGTTGGCAACAATCCTCAGGTGGGCCGTGCACACTCAACCCCACATTGACTCAGTTACCTGGATGTTACACACTGACCATCAGTGGTCAATCCATCATGTAGAATAAAATTTCAGCTGGGGATGTAGCTCAGCCACATAGCATCTGCCTAGCAAGCACAAGGATCTGAGTTTGATCCCCAGTATTAAAAAAAAAAAAAAAAAAAGAAACTTGTAACTGTAAACTCAAAATTACTTATCTAATTATGCAAATCTAGAAAATTTAATTTCCACAAAACTTTAATAAGTATGGGTGCAATTAAATCAAAATCCACATTTTGCCAAGCTAGTGATATCTATTTTTTAACAATATCAAAATCAATCTCAAAATTTGATTAAATGCATTATCAATTTACTAAAATCCTAGAGTTAAATTGAGCACATTTGTTATGCTGTACAAATAACTACCAAGTTTGAGTCTTTGGGAATATTAAAGATCATTTTTCCATATTCTAAAATACATAAGAAAATATTTCCCCCTTTTCTGCCATAAGGTCTAGTTTCCCCTTTAGAACAGCTGTTTTCACTCAGGTACGTTCTATTTTGATTGATTGACTTCTCATCCTCTCTTCTCATCTTCCACAAATAGACCCATTCTCTAAAATCCATATCAATTTCAGTTTCTTTAGATAACTTACATCCTGATATTGTCTTTAATCTTCCTAATTTTACTGGAAATAGAATGGTAGTAAGAGGGTGGGTTAGATGTTTCTGTCAAATACTAGATGAACAGAAATAATTACCTTTTATTGGACTGTCAGTAACTCAGCTGGAAACTTACACAAACTTTCAAGTCATGGCATTACGTGGTATAGAAATCAAATCCAGTTACCCAAATTAAAAATACTCAGAGGCAATAGCTAGAACTAAAGTCAGTCAAATTTCGGGTTAATTTTATAGAGTCTGTAACCAAAGCTCTGGAAGTTTATTGAAAACTTGGAAAAGGTACAGTCAACAATAATTGTATGTCAAATATGGCACCACTAAAAATAATATCACATGAAACATATGGCTTTGAGAACATATGCTTATACACTGCTAAACCTTCTACAGATAAAAGACGTAAATTGTATTTCAAAAGACAAAAAAGTGAATCCATTGACTAATTATTTCTTAGAGCAATATAATGTGAAACGATACTAGATATACGAGTCCGGTACCTAGTTTAAAAACAAGTACTACATAGGAAACGTAAGGCTTTAATTACAAATAAAAACAAAATGAGTGGAAGGTAGGTGGTGACAAAACACTCAGCACAGCCCGACTTCACTGGAGGCACCAGTGCTGGGCACTGAGGAGTGCAGAGGAGAAAGCTAAGTGGATATTTTTTTGGGGGGGGGGTGATGCTGAAAGTTAACATCACCTTAAGGTACGTGGTACCTCTAGATCACATAGTAACTATTTAAAAACTGTTTAAAATACTTTTACACCCCAAAACGATGAATAAATCAACTGATCCTTTCAGGTAATTAATTCAGGAAGCAAAGTTAAAACCTATAATTAGCTGTTGCAATAAATTTTGGTGGTCAATTCAATCAAAATGATCATTAAATGAAAGTTAGTATGTCAGTGAGAAAATAAGTGAAAGTGATTTCGTGACCCTTACATGCACTAAAACTGCTGACTTCAACCTAACTATAGCATACTTGGTATAAAATGAGTGTAAAGATTTCATATGCTGTACAAATGAATAGGAATATAAATGCTTTCTAGAAAAATGTGTTTTGTAAATCACTAAGTATTCTAAACTTTTAAAAAATTTTAGTGCTGAATTTATTTCAAAACTATTTTAGTGTATTATTTTTAAGACCAATTGGCAAAAAAATCTGTAATTTTAAATGCCAGTGCAGACAACTATAAAGAAAATAATTCCTACAATTACAGTAAAAATGTTATAATAGTGACCTGTAAAGGATTTTTTTAAAAATGTGTATTACGATTATCTAATAACTTTCAGAGATTCCTGGTCACCCCCCTCACAAAGATACAGCTTAATTTTTAATACATACTTTATTAGAAATTCTTGGAAATGCTAGCCAGGCTACTAAGAGAATGTTTTCTGGTGTGTATTTTTGTTCAGTCTACACTTAAAATTTTTAAATAATTTACATATATTGAGAATATATCCTATTGTTTCCAAATACATTATAGTATGTGAAAGCAGTCCTGTAATCTGCCACTGACTGATAGAAGTCAGCAAGATGAAGGCCGTGAAAGCAGGAAGCAGTAATGTTCAAAGAAGTCTTCCAGCTCCTAATAGCAGAAATAAAGGCTCTGTTGCTCAGTCCTAAGAAAGCCTTTAATGTGCTGGGGGTAGGAGTGTAAAGGGCAAACCAGATAGGATCCTAGGTCAGTGAAACTGGTCTATGTGATTTCATAACATTAGATATATATCGTTATAAAAAATGTTTATTGGGCTGGGGATTTAGCTCAGCGGTATAAGTGCCTGCCTGGCAAGCACAAGGTCATGAGTTCAATCCCAGGTACCAAAAAAAAAAAAAAAAAAAAAGTTTGTCAGGACCCAAAGAACATACAAGATCAGCCCAAATGTTACCTGTGGACTCTAGGGGACCATAGGGAGTCATTGTAAGTTTATCTACCAAGTGCATCACTGGCAGAAAATGACAGTGGGAGAGAGTGTGCATGGGTGAGATCATAAGACATTTGGAAAATCCTGTGTATGCTCCTCACCATGAATATCAACCAAAAATTGTCCTTTAAAAGTCTATTAAAATAAGCTTTTACCTTTCCCAATCAAATTGTAATGAAAAACTACCTAAATAAATAAGGACTTAGAAAAAGAATCAAATAGCAGTGTTTCACATTGAGAAGTAGGCAGCTATGACTTCAAAATTTAAATCTTAAACTCCTCTAAGGTTATGAGATTGTAAAGAAAAAATGAGGAGAAAAGAACTCAAATTCAGGATACTCATTAGAATCTGCTATCTGAACTTCGCAAGTGAAACACAAAACAGTCATTATCCTAAGAGTCTCACCTTGTGTGACAGATTAATAAAGGAGATAAAACTCACTTTATCTCCTAAATTAAATGTCCCCTAAGATTGGAACTGGCTCAAGAGGACATCTAGGCCATCTTCAGTAAATTTAAGATCTCAGGAACAAAATGGAAATTCATTAGTAAATGAATGCACTTGAGCAGTATAATGCAGTCCAGGCTCTTATTTTAATTACACATACTTGTCTATGTGGATGTCCACATAGACACTCCACCATGATAGTCATACTTCTAAGTAGGGAAACAGCATCATATCACATTCATCATGTGTTATTTGGTCTACTTCAAATGTACAGCTTCATGTTCATTTATATCAGTAAAATATATCCAAATAGAATTTTATTCTTAAGTGAACAGTGGTTGTAATCCTCCAAAATCCTTTCATAAATATTTTGGTGTTGGTCTATAAATATTCAATAACAGAAGTGTGGTCCAAGCTTGTTTTTAATTAAGTTAACTTGCTACCATTAAGCAGTAAGCACTAGAAAGCCTTATTTTAGCAAAGCTCATATTGTCACAGAAGAGCTCAGTAAGTGTCTTGAGTTTTTCTCAGAGGCGACAGTTCATTTGATATATTTCCCCGAGTCTTATGGGCAGACTGACAACAAACGGGAGAATTGCCTTCTTCTTAATAAATTCTGATTACCAGCTCTCTCATGCTGAGTGTGATCATATGGTGCCTGGCTCTGGATGGCTCTGGGTGAAATAATGGACCGTGCAGATCCAAAGGCTGCCTTGAATGTTCTGCCACTTTATTATTGGCAGGAGAGAGAATTTAAATGGAATGTCAGTCAGATTTTATGTTTTTCTCTGCAGCTGTGAGCTTCTGCTAAATAATCTCGGCCCTATCTCTATCACCCAGATTTTTATGAATCCTATAATCCAAATTCAAATATTTTAATTTCCTCTCATGATTTTAGGGTCAATTTTGGGCAAAAAGCTGTGGTGTCAAGGACCACTTCTAATACATTGGAATCACTTGAATGTTCTTTGTTCTCTTTTTAATTTTTATAAAATGGATTCCAATTGATAAGAAAATGCTGTTTGTTAAGAAGGCATAAATTTTCATTTAACTCTTACATTTTTTTTCTATACTGGTTGTAATACCTCAGCTTCTTTGAATAAGAGAGACCAATTTAGTGCAAGCAAATGGATAAAATAAAAGTCAAACGTGCTCTCTACATTTGATATACAAGAGAGACATTTGCATAATAAATTTGTGTATTTCTCATATAGTAATTTAAACATTTAGAATATATTCTTATATGCACTTATCAGCAATGAATGTGTTGAAATCCTTGATGTAAATGATTACAATCACTTTCTTACTTGTCTCTATCAGGTACAAGGAACCATCTTCCCAGCTCCCAATTTCAACCCTGTAATGGACGCTCAAATGCTAGGGGGAGCACTCCAAGGATTTGGTAAGGCTGGGAATGTCTATGTTTCGTCATAGTACTACATGTATTCTCTGGATAATTGTAAAATAGCTGATGTCATTGGGAGAAAAAAGAGATGCAGATTAACCTAAAAACTTGGAAAAAAGTAGAGTGACATGAAAAAAAAATAGAAAAAGATAAGCACAGAAAACGCAAAAGAAATGCTCATGAAACATAAAGATTTTCCTGAGGAAACACGCTCTTAATTTTAAAGGCAAGGTCGACTTTTATGAGATTCATATACATGTACACGGATACATGGATAAATGCATTTTGATATTTTATTCACTGGCAATATCTCTTAGAAAAACAATAAAAAAAACTTTCACCATGCACTCTGAAGTTAACCTTAAAGTTTGCAATGCTTTCATGGTTTTAAAATATCAGTCATCACCACAAAAATATGGAGACAATATAACAAAATGCTATGAATTAGCTTTTTCTTCAAGAGTACAATTTTAGCTTTAAAACTATTGATCAGAGCAATCTGTTCACCATTTTTTGTCATTACTAGAGTTTCAATTTTTCCTGTCATTGCAGTTTTAGGCTCACAATACGGCTTCATTTTGACCAGTGTAATTTCTTGCTTGTCAGTGCTCTAGGCTGAAAGACTTCAGGATGTTTCCATGGCGGAGTGTCCACGGTAGCGTGTCCAAGCAAGAACATGTTTCATGTGCTTTAATAGCTGCCTTGATAACTTCAGCAAAGTGCAGCTGAAGAAGTCAATTATCATGTTTTCCTTGGCTCCTCTCTTTTGATTTAGAAGTATCTAAGAGAAAAAAATTTAAGGCAAATAAAAATCAGTTGCTTAAATGAACATAGTCTCAAACTGTATGAAAATCTCTGGTACTAATCTCACTCTAAAAGAAAACACTTCTCAGGCCACATTCTTTAATAGTTCCCCTCTCCCAATTTACTGCCACAAGATGCTACTTGTGCATTCTTAAAAGAACTATGCAGCACTTACTGCGTATCTACCAACACGTACAATTTCCAGGTCATCTCTCTAACATCCTTGACAACTAAAATAATTTTAACCTGTATTTCTAGTATTTTTAAAGAGAGATTGTACAAGTACAAATTAATCTTTCCTTAAATGGTACTGTGTACGATGGATATTCACACCTTTTTCTCCATCATTCCCACTACTAAGTACATTGCTTGCTGTAGGATTTTGAAGATGCCCTGTATCAAGTTGAAGAAATCCCCTTCTATTCCTGGTTTGGTGAGAAATTTTATCTTGAGAGATACTGTAGTTTATTAAATGCTTCTTATGCATATGGATACAATCCTATGGTTTTGCTTCTTTAGATAGTTGATGCAAAAAATTACATTAAATGATTTAGAATGTTGGGCCATACTTGAGCACTTCTTTAAATCTTTGTGTGCATTATTATATTCATTTCCTAATTATTTGCAAGTTCTTACATGTCTGTTTATCAGAAATGTAGGTCAGTAGTTTTTGATCGTTTTTTTTTATTGTAATTTATTTTTCTCCTACTAGTATTACAGTAGTATTGGTTTCACAGAAAGAGCTATAAGGAATTTACTCTGCTTCTAATTTATGAAAGAGATAATAGAAAATTAGCATTTCTTCTTTAAAAGTTTGTTAAAATTCACAGGTGAATAATTTATTTAATCTTGGTGGGTTTTTTGTTTTGTTTTGGTTTCTTCTCTGTCTTTTTTGTTTTTCATTTTTAGTTTTTTGGTACTGGCAATCGAACTCACAACTTCATGCTTGCCAGGTAGGACCTTAGTGTTTTGATAGGCTATTAATTATTGTTCAATTTCTCCATACACACAGAACTTTTCAGGTTGTCTTTTTGTTGTGTTTTGTTTTTGAAGTGTGAGGTCTTTGTGTCCTCAAAAGAATTGAACCATTTCACCTAATGTATCAAATTTGCACGCATAGAATTGTTCATCATTTCTGTAATATCCATAAGATCCATAATAAGAGCCTCCCTTCATCTCTGATATTGCTATTTTATGTGACTCTTTCCTTTCACCTGGCTAGAGGATCATAGATTTTACTGTTTTTTTTAAAGTTATGACGTCATTGATTTTCCCTATTGATTTTCTATTTTCAATTGTATTTGCTTATACTTTTATTTTTATTACTGTTTTTCTTTTTTTAACTTTAAGTATACTTTGCACATCTTTTCAATTTCCTAGACCTCATGGCTTTCCTCTTTTCTCACTTGTGCAGTCAGTATCATAAATTTACCTCTAAACATCATATTTGGTGTCCTGCACACTGTATTTTCATTCAATTTTGTTTGAATTTTTAAAAATTGGTATTTGTTATTCAAAATCATTTTGTTTAACTTACATGTATTTTAGAATTTTTAGTTATCTTTGCTTGTGGATTTCTAGTTACTCATTTCTAGTTTATTTTTTTTTTTCTGGCTTGAAAACATATTTTATATGGTTTTCCCTATTCTTTTGAAATTGTTAACATAAGTTCTCTGGGCCAGAATCTGGTCTATCATAGTAAATATTTTATGTGAATCTGAGAAAAATGTATGTTGCAGTTATGTGTTATATAGACATTGACTCAATCCATTTTATTTTCCAAAATACAACATAAACATAAAATGTAACATCATTTAACCAGTGTTAACCAATATTGTCAAGAAAAAAATAAACATTACACAGCTTGAAATATTTATAAAAATATAAATATGGACATGTTTAGAAAAAGTTTATTTTCATGTGAAAGAAAAAACTGTATGTCTTTACTAAGCACTCTAGAAAAAAACACTCAAGTTGGCAGATAGAATATGTTAGTGACAGAAAGACCATATTTTTGAAATTGACTCTTAAATTTATATTTATATTAAAATGCTGTATTAAAATGTTTAAGAACCATAAAAAATCACTCTGAAATACCTCTGGAAAGATAAATAAACAAAAACTTCTATGAAAATTTAAAAATTAAGCATAGTTGAGAAGATTGTGAATAATCTCAACAACAAAAGCAAAAAATCAAAAGATTGTAACAATTTAATAAATGTGATGACTATAATGAAAACTGTAGAAGTAATTGAAGTTTCTGTATTTTATATGTTCATTTTAGAATGTAGCTAACAGCCTTCTCTACAATGGTTTTAATTCTTTTGAGTCTGTGACTAGGTGACCCCAAGATGCCCCATCCTCTCTTTCCTCTTCAGAGTTCCTTGCTTTACTCTAAGAAGCCAATGATTCCAGTCTTTGGAGCTGATTTCACGGCTTCCTTCACCACTATAAGCTTCCAGACCATTTCTCTCATCTCCATCACACACCTTGGTTTTGTCAAAGGCACAGCCACCCAAGTAAATGCCTGTTACCCGCCCTTATTCACTCGCTATTTCAGGATCAGCTCATAACTTCCCTAGGATCCTAGGATAGGTTTAATTTCCAAAATGATGATTTGCTTAGTATTCTAAACTCTGTTTATTCTTCTGTATGCATTAAACATCTCCTCTTGTCAAAAGAAAATAACACCAGATGCAATTAACCTTCATTCAAACTGTAGACATAGGGATCTAGAGGGGAAAGAGATTGAACTCAATATCCCTGAAACAGAAAGCGGGAGTTATTAAACACAAGTTCAGCTGGCAGGAAAGCAGTGAGCAGTAGGCTGATGGTGGGTCTCGGAGAAGATAATGAGGTAGCCTGTGACTGCTGATCAGCGCTTACCAAAGCTGGACTCCCCCTCTCAGACAGAGGCACAGAGAAGTGACTCTGCCTTCCTTGATACTAACATTCCAAAGGAAAGGCCTGAGAACAATTCTGAGTTGTAAATCTGGTAGGAAGGTGAGAAAAAATGTACAGGTCTAAAATGTACAGAATTTTCAATGGCAAGTTTTCTATAAATCATTACCCTTAGAGGGGACAGGTCAAAGGACATGGTTAGGCAAAAAAAATTCATCTCATTTTAGTCAAGCTGAGTGAAAAGTTAAGATCTTCTTAGTCACTCCACTATAACCATAATTATGTGAAATGCATCTAAACTTGCTGTGCATTAAGATGAGCTGTTAGGTTAGTGTGACAATATGATATGAGATGCGACAAAACTTGGTGCTGTGAAGTAGAGGATGCCCAGCCGGACAGCAGAGCCTATGTTATGAGCAAAAGGACTGCCCTCCATGCAAAGCAGGATAGGCTCACACTGTCCCGTGGAAGTTTCCAGACACAGTATATTCATGATTTCCTTCTTTATTAAGCCGCCTTCGTCTGGAAATTCTAACAACAACGCCCCTGTTTTCAAACTGTGTATTCATAGTAAGTCATACCTCTCTTGACTGTGCAGTGTGAAAAACATGGTGTCCACTTACCACCCGTAAATGAAAATTACCGCTGCCCTTTTTGGTATGGTAGGATAGACATTTAAGTAAAGGATCTGTTTCCTTACTTTCTTGTGTTAATATTAAATCTTTAGGAATGTCACCAACTAGTGTAGGTTGTTGCTTCAGTGATAACAGAAGTTAAAACCAGGCAACAGCATGCGTTTACAGAAAAAGGATTTGACAGGAGAGTATGAGAACACAGAGAGGGACTTGAGCTTGAGAAGAAAATCTGAAGGGGACACAACTCTAACCAAGTAGATCAGGCTGGTGTCCTAACAACAAAGGACAGAAGCCAGTATTTATGGAGTTGCTGGCATGGGCTAAAATCTGGTTGATCGTTTACTTGGTTCTGATTTTGCAGCTCTGGAGAAGCCCTTATGGCTTGAGGAGTTAATTGTCTTTATGAGATGATTGTGTGTGAGAGACTGTTCTGGTTTTGCAGAGGCTCTATTGATACCCAGGGTGACTGCAGATTCAGAGAATGATGAGAAACTCTTAGGTGTCCATTTTAGTTAACTAAATTTGATAGGAGCGTATTATTGCAAATCTTTTATCTTGATGTCCTCAGTCTCAGTGGAACATGAGATAGGTTATATAATATAAATTTAGGTCAAATAAACTTATATTATCAGTTTTTAGACAGCTATTATTTAAATGTTAAATATGCCTATAGGCAGAGCCCAGAAAGAATCTGACCCAAAGGTTGAAAGTGACAATAGAGACATATATTATAATGAAGGCAGAGCTGCCCAGAGTATTCAGTCAGCTTTCCTGCTGCTGAGAGCAAATACTTGACCCACAGCTCAAAGCAGGAAATGGTCATGTGATTTCAGAGAGTTCATTCCATGATCAGCTGGTTCCCAGGATGTGACAGCATAAAATTGTTCAGTACATGGTGGTCAGAAAAAAGAACAGGGGGAAATGACAGAGAGGAAGGAATGAGATATACTTCCCAAGGACATCCTCCATCCTCCATGCAGAGGAAACACAAAAGTGTGAACCAGCAATCCCCTACACAGCTCGTAAGCTAATCAAGTTGACAACTGTGCTTGTATGTTACAGTAAGATTTATCCTATGTTTAGTTAGCAACTACGTACCTAAAGGGTCAAACAGTTCCTGTTTTTTAATTCTCCATATACTTTTCAAGAAAGCAAAAATCATGATTTTGATGAGTAACATGTTAAGGGCTCAGCAGTTAGTCTGAGCTTTCTCTCTGTCATGATCTCCAGCAGCCTTATTTTTTCATCTAGTTTATCCTCTGACATGCTGTGGTAACGGCATCCTGGCTTTAACGATGCACCTGGTTTCTGCGGTCATGTGGTTATTCAGGTTAGGAGTTAGGGAAGAATACACACTCTATTTCTAGTCAGTACCAGGTCCTGAAGTAAGGCCCAGAACTATAGCTGCCCTTTGTCCTCATGGTCGCCTCTGACTATCTCG